TGAATTGAGTGCTAGAAATCATTTTCCTTTAATAGTCACATTCATCCTAACAAAACTTGTTCTTTTTTAGATGAAATGATTTGAATTTAAAGTCAAACATATCCATTTCAAAACTATGTCTGCCTGGTTTAAGTAAATTCACTCACTCTTGCATCACCTTAGTGTTATTAACATCACATTCAAAGGTGCATTTCATAAATTGGAAAAAAAAAAAAAACCCTCATTGCTATCAAGTCAGATCCGACTCATAGAGACCCCCGTTGGGTTTCAAAGGCAGTAAACCTCTACACAAATAGATTTTCCCATCTCCCTTCCATAGAAGGGGCTGGTGGGTTTGAACCACCAATCATCTGGTTAGCAGTCCAATGCCTTAGGCACTGCACCACCAGAGCTCCTTCCTTAATTGAAAGAAACTCTAAATCCACTGATAGGAAAAAAATTGTTCCTCATACTTTTCTTGTATTGGATATTTTTCACTTTTTATGAAATATTATTTCTAGTTTTCATATTCCTCTAAAAATTAACATAAGTTAAATTTCTTTTATCATCTCTTCAACTACAAATTATTTTATTTTTTGTGCAAGAATTCAACCCATAGCATAGCTGGTCAAAATAGCTTTAAATTTTTTGTTGGCCTTTTAACTTAGAGCCTGATGATTAATTTTGTCACTCCTATTTTGACTGTTGAAAGGAAACTTATCAAATTTACTATGCCCATCTTTCGTCTTGCTCCCTTAGTTGTCTTAAAAATTTTGTAACTCAGGAAGGAACTTTTTCATTTTGCTCTACCATGACAAATTGCAGTTAGTAATTCACAGTGGCCGCAACAATAGACTCAAACATACTAATAATGTTCATGAAGAGACACAGAACCAGGCAACATTTATTCTGTTGTCCATAGGTTGCCATGAGTCAGAGCCAACTTGAAGACAACTAACAACACTATTCATTGTGAATCTTGTAATATATTATTCCAGTATCCTTTTTCTTTATTGTTCTGGTCATAAAACTTGTTTTCTTTTTCATTTGATTCTGCAACAGGAACATGCCTTCATTTTTCATTTCAAAATGTGCTCACACTTATTTGTTTAAACTAGAAAATTAATGTGTTTATATTATAATCAAACCCACCCACTGCTGTTGAGTGGATTCCAGCTCATAGTGACCCCCATCGAGTTTCAAAGGCTGTAAATCTTGACAGAACTAGTTTGCCTCACGTTACTCCGATAGACAAGCTGGTGGGTTTGAACCACCGACCTTCTGTTTAGCAGCCAAATACCTTACCCAGTACACCACCAGAGTGCCTTATAATTAAAGTAACAAGTATTTCAATTTAATATCCAATTTTGATTTATTATAGGTATTAGTGTAGTTCTTATTGGCTCCAGAAATTTTTTAAAAAACTTTTTTTGTGATTTGGGTGAAAGTTTATAGAGCAAATTTATTTTCCATACAGCAGTTCATACACATTTTATTTCATGACTTGACTGCAATTCCCCACATTGTAACAGCTCTCTTCTCACTTCTTCCCCATAGTTACCTCTTCCTGTGTCCTTCTTTCCTGTGCATTCCTGCCCCCTGAGCTATCTTCCTGTGCAAACGCTGCTCTCATGATTGATCCTCTAAGGAGTGTGTCTACCTGATATAAATGTTCACCCTATATGTCTGTCTGTTGTTTGGCTGAAAGCCACAGGAGTTGCCTTTAGAAAATTATTCATATAAGCACATTACAGTGTTAGATCCTTGCATGGAAAAAATAATTTGAATTGAATCTGTCTACTGACTCAACTAGATCATTGATGTGTGTAACACTAGAAAGGATACACAGGCTTGAATGCACACTACAACAATAATATCACACAGTACAACAGTTAAAATGAAATATATTGTTGTCACTTGCCATCAAATCAGTTCTGACTCATGGTGGCCTTATTCATGACAGAACAAAATGTTGCAAGATCCTACACCATCTTCATGATTTTGGTATGTTTGAGTCCATCATTCTTGTGGCTATTGCGTCAATCCACCTCATTGAGCATCCCTCATTTTCTTTGACTCACTCTCTACTTTACCAAATATGATGTCCTTTGTCAATTACCTGTTCATCTGTCAGTTTGTGGTACTCTGGTGCCTTGCATGTACTTATGTTGTGGAAGTTATGGCACTGGTGTTTCAGATATCAACCAGCAGGGTCACCCATGGCGAACAGGTTCAGTGGGGCTTCTAGACTAAGATAGACTAGGAGCTCTGATAGCATAGTGCCTAAGGCATTTGACTGCTAACCTGAAGGCTGGTGGTTCAAACCAACTAGCCACTCCTCGGAAGGAAGGTTGGGCAATCTACTTCCGTAGTGATACCGCCTTGGGAACCCAAGGAGGGGTCTATGAGTCAGGTCCAACTCAACGGCACATAACAGCAACAGAAGGTCTATTTGCTTCCCAGAATCAACCAATGAAAATCCTATAGATAATAAGAGAAAGTGAAATATAGTACTACTAAGACAATAAAAGGAGCTCTGGTAGCGTAGTGCCTAAGGCACTTGACTGCTAACCAGAAGGCTAGCGGTTCAAACCCACCAGCCACTCCTCGGAAGGAAGATGGGGCAATCTACTTCCGTAGTGATAACTGCCTCAGAAATATGAGTCGGGTCCGACTCGAGGGCACATAACAACAACAAGAGAATAAAGTTGCATATGATGGAAAAATATTTTACACTGCTTCTATTTTTTAATTTAAATGGATTAAAATTAAATAAAATATAAAAGTTCCTCACACATACTAGGCACAAGTCTTAATTGTCATATGTAGCTAGTGGCTACTGTATTGGATAGCACAGGTCTAGGGTCATGTGAGAGTTAAAAAATAGATTTTACAATAACAATAACACCAGGGAGGTACTCCTTAGAACAATCAACCATATGAGATCAAAATGCAACAGTTACCCAGGGATGAAGCTCAGAAGGCAGGAAGGGATAGGAAAGAAGGATGAATGGAAATGGTAAACACAAGGAGGAAGTGGGAAGAGTGGTGTTACATTGTGGGAATTGCAATCAACATCACCAAATAAGATGTGTATGTTGTATGAAAAAACAATTTGCTTTGTAAACTTTTACCTAAATCACAGTAAAAAGTTAAAAAAAAAAATTATTTTTTAAAAAAAGATCTTGTTTATGCATTAGGTATTGGTTTAAGTAAAAAAAAAAAAAAAAAAAAACATTTTAAGCCAATGTGTGGCTTAAAGGAGGACAGAGATAGAAATTGGTATGGTGGTACACTAAAATGTGGAGAAAATATGGTGAGTTTGCTTATGGAGAGGTATCCTTTACCAGGAGTACTAGGGATGGAAATGGAGATGAGGGTGGGTGGATGAGCAGGGGAAATGAGGACATGGAGTCTAGGAGACAGAGGGAGAGGTCCTTTCTCTTGACCAAAAGATGTTCACCCCACCTACTGAATTTCTCAGGGGTTTAATCAGAGAAGATACAGGTTGTGGTAGGCATTTAAAAATCAAGGCACTGCTTTAGTGGTGATCAGAAAATCGAGGCACTGGTATATGGCTGGGAACAAAACAATGATAAAAGCTGTTCCGCCTAATAATAGAAGTTCAGGCCCAGGTGTTAATGAGCTGGGAGAAAGGATGGGGGTGAGGGTGCCCTCTCCTGCCTCCAGATAGAAGAATCAGAGAGTAAAAAAGTTGCAGAGACAGAATAGGACTAAAGTGAAAGGATGGGAAAAGAGGATGGGAAAAGGGGATGTAAAGTGTCCATTTCTAAGAAACTCAAAGGCACAAAGTACAGCAACCTGAATACCTGTGCTGATGCTGGTGGTGGATCTGAGTGCTGAGTAAAAGCCCAAGAATTTTAATGCTCTGGAACCTTCTGCAGAGAACAGCCCAATCTTTATATCTGTAATGTGAGATCATGCCCATTGCATAAAAGAACTGTAGTTTCTGCATTTACCTGAGGTAGATAAACTCCTTGGAGAAAAAAATCATGGGAGAAAGAAGGGCTGCTTGTGCACAGGGAGACAGCTCAGGGAGCAGGAGTGCATGGAGGGATGGATACAGGGAAGAGGTAACTATCGGGAGGAAGTAGGAAGGGAGCTGTTGCATTGTAGTAAATTGTGGTCAATGTCATGAGACAAAGTAGATGTGAACTGCTGTACAGAAAGTGAATTTGCTCTGTAAATTTTCACCCAAATCACAATAAAAAAAAAAAAAAAAGAACTGCAGTTTCTGGACTCTTAGCATGCTTTGCTTTATACTTTAGTTCTGAAATTGTGTGTCTGGGAATCTAACTTAAGAAGATAGAAATAAGTGAAAAGAAAATATATATGTATAAAATATGTATCATTGTGCAAAACTGGAAACAATCTAAATATACAATGATAAAGGAATAGTTAAATGATAGATTAACCTCCATTTAAAAGAAGAAACCTTTAAGATAAAACTCACATACGGGGGGCGGGGGGGGGGCGCGGGGATGACTAAGTGAAGCACAAGACATTTTATGGCAGGGAAACTGTTCAACATGTTACAATAATGGTGGACACATGCATCTATCAAAACCCATAGGACTGCACAGCACACAAAACTAACCCTAATGTAAACATGTTGTTGTTGTTGTTACGTGCTGTAGAGTCGGACCCAACTCATAGCGACCCCTCCTTGAGTTTCCAAGGTGGTATCACTATGGAAGTAGATTGCCCAACCTTCCTTCTGAAGAGTGGCTGGTGGATGTTAGTTAATGACAATGTATCCATATTGGTTCAACAGTTGTAACAAATATGTACCACAGGAATACAAGATGTCAATAATAGGAGAAACAGTGTGCAGGTAGGGAAGAGATATATGGGAACTCTCTGTGTTTTCTGCACAGTTTTTCTATAAACCTAAAACTGCTCCAAAAAACTAAAGTCCATCTGAAAACTTACGTAAGCAATATTAAAGTGTTAACACAGTCTATTCCTTCCTCCCTTTATCCCTCCCTCCATGATCACAGGAAACTGCACTGCACTCGGAACTACATCCACCTAAACCTGTTCCTCTCCTTCATCCTGAGAGCCATCTCCGTGTTGGTCAAGGACGACATCCTCTACTCTAGCTCCGGCACACTGCACTGCCCTGACCAGCCATCCTCATGGGTAAGATGTGCCCATGGTCAGGGTTTCCTCACAGGTGTTTTCCCTAGGCCAGCTGTCCTTCCACAAAACATGAAGTAGTACAGGATAGCTTTCGTGGACTCCAGCCACCAGCCACCCTGTACACTGCCTCTGTCCCTTAGACTTCATTCCGACTTCTCAGCACTGACACAAGGGGGCCTCTGCAAATCCTGGTCAGGTCTGAAAATCAAAAAGGGTCTGGCAAAAAGGAAGGTGATGGGGCAGCAGAATCGGCCTAGAAGATGAGACATCAGCGCAGGCACAAAACAGCACCAAGATAAGAGGTTGAATGGCACTGAGGCAGAGAGGTGATGCCAGGTCTAGTGGAGTCCAGGTCCAGGGGCTGGGGAGTTGGGGACACTGTGAGAGCTGACTCACAGCCAGCTTTTGATTACAAGGAGCAATCAGCAGCGGTTCTAGGTTGGAAAGTCTTGACATAGATGAACACATGCCGAACTCCATTTCTGTCTAAATTGCCTAGATCCTGAGTAGCAAATGCTCTTTTCCAACTGCTGGGGTGAAATCACTTTGTCCAATGAATAAATCCCATGAAGTAGGCAGTACTGTTTAGTGTCCTATTATGGACCCATTTGAATGTCTGTTGCTATACTTAGATCCAACTCTTCAATACAAGGATAAATAATCTTAATTACTAGCTTCTACAAAGACATCATAGGCTCCACTTCACACTGCCCATGCTGTTCTTCACCATTGGCTATATTTGGGATGGTTATTTAGTACAAAATCATCTCAGTTTAATATAACAAATACTTATTGAGCACCTCCTATATACAAGTCAATCTACTAAGTTTTTCTCTACTATTAACATAATGCTACAAGAGCCTCAGGATCTTTGGGAAGCATTTGGCATCCAGATACACCATTCGTGATTTGAGATTGTAACTGTGGATGTTGGCTACTCTCTTCTCTCAAAAACCAGAAATGCTAGACTCTCCTCTCAACATTCCAAAAGATAGAGTCATCTGCTGACAGAGTTACTTTGGGGTGGACAGCTTTGGATTAATTTAGTTTTAAGGTAGTGAGTCCCTTTATATTTCTGCAGAATATCAGCTGTTTCATAGTCAGATGCCCCATCATGCTTTTCCTACAGGTAAATAAGTATATTTCTGGGTATGTGGATTGAATTAATAAGGTGAGCCTATTATCATAATAGGAGTAGCTCTGGTAGCGTAGTGCCTAAGGCACTTGACTACTAACCAGAAGGCTGGCAGTTCAAACCCACCAGCCACTCCTTGGAAGGAAGATGGGGCAATCTACTCCCGTAGTGATACTGCCTCAGAAACCCAAAGAGGAGTCACTATCCCACTGGAAGGCACTTAACAACAACAACAACATTATCATAATAGGAGCTCTAGTGATGTAGTGCCTAAGGCATTTGACTGCTAACCAGAAGCTGGCAGTTCACACCCACCAGCCACTCCTCAGAAGGAAGGTTAGGCAATCTACTTCCTTACAGGTATCTCCTCAGAAACTCAAGGAGGTGTCGCTATGAGTCGGATCCTATAAAATGGCAGTGAGTTTTTGTTTGTTTGTTTGTTTTGTTTTTACTGTTGTCATAATAAAACTAACCACTACATACTTCATCTTCAAAATCACCACTTCCCAAGTGGAAGTCAGACCCGATGTTCTTGCCCTAAGAGTCTGCCCTAACAGGAAGAGCAGAGAAGCAAGGCAGACTCTGCTCTGAGGGTATCTTCTCTATATGGGTCTCAAAACTTTAATGATTCCTCTATCCTTAGCTCTTTATTAAAGAAACAGAGGGTTATTCAGGGAGTATTGACCTTTGATGTTGTTATTACCAAAACCAAACCCACTGCTAGTCAATTCTGACTCATAACAACTCTATAGGACAGAGTAGACATTGTGTTTCCAAGGCTATAAATCTTTACAGAAGCAGACTGCCTCATCTTTCTTCTGTGGAGCAGTTGGTGGGTTAGAACTGCTGACCTGTTGGTTAGCAGCTGAATGCTTTAACCATTATACCACCAGAGTCCTTGTTGTTGTTATGTGCCGTCAAGTCGGCCCCGACTCATGGCAACCCCTCCTTGGGTTGCCAAGGCAGTATCACTATGGAAGTAGATTGCCCAACCTTCCTTCCAAGGAGCGATTCATAAGGACTCCATGTGCAATGCAACAAAATGTTTCCCAGTGCTATACTATTCCCATGATCAGTTGCAGATCAGACTATCCTGTTCAATAGGGTTTTCACTGGCTAATTTTAGGAAGTTGATCACCAGCCTTTTTCTTAGTCTATCTTAGTCTGGAATCTGCTGAAACCTGTTAACATCGTAGCAACCTGCAAGCCACTGATAGAAGAGTGGTGGTTGTGCTTGAAATGCATTGGCCAAGAATTGAACCTGGGTCACCTGCATGGAAAGCGAGAATTCTACCACTGAGCCACCACTGCTTCCTCTGTTGATCCTTGATAAACCCACAGATATTGTTGTCCTAGAGCAAGTGATTTTAACTTTCTCTTGCCCTGTAGCCCCAAAAGATCTGGCCCATTTCACACTTACAGGGCCTGAAGGAAATGAGCCCTCAGAACTCCTAGGAGTGGAATGGGTGGTTGGGCAGCTCCTCCAGTGGTTCTGTTCTGCCACAGCTACCCAGCCCAGCCCCTCAGCTGGGACTGCAGGCCCTTCCCTTTCTGTCCTTTACTGAGCTGCTCTTGAATGCCAGGTGGTTTCTGTGAACACTGTTGGTTAATTCTCAGTACCCTTCAAAATAGCAATTAGCCCATTTTACAAATGAGGAAACTGGGGCTGCAAGAAACCTTTGAGCAACTTGTTAAAAGTCACACAACAAGAATGTGTCAGGACTCAAGCTCAGTGATGCTTGTGCACAGTCAAATGCTAAACGCCAGGACTCCCTGAAGACTGGACCCTGGGAGCTGCATGGAATGGCCAAGTTCTAAAATTGGGAAGGAAAAACAATTTTAGCTCCCATTTTTTCTCCCAGTGTTGGCAATCCAGCTCCATGAGAGCAGTGGGTGGGGACCCTAGCTGTGCCGCTCACCAGCTTTTCCCCACCACTTCTAGACCAACTCCATGATCCTAGGAAAGAGTGCAGGCCAGGAAAAGAGATATGGAAAATGGGAGAAGGGGAAAAAAGAAAAAAGGAGGAAGCAAAGAGACAAATGAGACAGGAGAGAATGAAAGAAGGGAAAATAAAAAGAAATGGCTTTTTCCCTTACGATCTCCCATTTAAAAAAAAAAAAAAAAACTATCAAGTCAATTCCAACTGATAGCAACCCTACGGAACAGAGTAGAACTATCCCATAGAGTTTCCAGTCTGCTTTCTGGAAGCAGGCTGCCACATCTTTCTTCCACAGAGGGGCTGGTAGGTTTGAACCACTGACCCTTCATTAGTTGCTGTGCCACCAGGACTCCACATTCTCCTATAAAGACTGGTAAGATTCTTATCAGTCAGCTAGACTGGTAGTTAGACGTCAGCCTAAGCAACAAGAAAAACATATCCTGTCTTTCAGTTACAGATTTTGGAAATTTTTGTTCCCAGCTAGATTTAACCAAACCAACATTATTCTCCAAAGCTGAGCATATGGGCATCTCTCCCAAAATAGGTAACTTAGCTCTTTTTCTCACAGTATAAGCTGCAGCCAAGAATATGAAAAGGTCTATTCCCTCTCAAGATTGAAGGCTTCTGTACTCCTGCCAAATGTACCCAGCTGACAGACAGGCAGAGAGAACAACTAATTATGCTTCCAGCCTCTTCCCCAGTGGCTGGGCCATGAGGCAGAGGCTTCTGGGCCGAGCATGTTAGCCACAGCCATGAGGCTTTGTGTGGGTCCACTGGGCTGTGCAGAGGGACTCTGGGGGATTCTAGAGCATTGTCAGTAGTGCCAGACTCCACAGCAGAGGTGATAACTGCATGCAGAATCAGGCCTGGCCTCCAAAAGGGCATTGTGCATATGACTATCTAGATACTGAGTGATCAGGCTTTATTAAGTATATTTTTATTTTGTTTAGGGGTTGAATTTTCATTTTTGGATGCAGTGGTAGAATGTTCAGGACGAATATTTCAGAGGAATGCATTATATATAGGCCGCCTCATGAGAAGCAAGCCAGCAGTTCAATCTCACCATAGAAGAGAACAGATTTCACATAGGCTGTATATCAGAAACCAAACCAAACTCACCACCATTGTGTCAATTCCAGCTTACAGCAACCCTATAGAACAGAGTAGAGCTGCCCCATAGGATTGCCAAGGCTGTAAATCTTTATGGAAGCAGACTGCTTCATCTTTCCCCTGCAGAGTGGCTGGTGGGTTCAAACCACTGACCTTTTGCTTTAACTGTTCCACCAGAGCTTCGATAGGCTCTATGGAATTTAAAAGAGCCCCCTAATTTAAGGTTTACTAAAATGTTCCTTGGTGCTTCCTTGAGAGCCAAACCCTCCCTACCTGAGAAGGGTATACTTGGAAGCCTTGAGCTCTCCAGCAAGGCTGACACATTTAAACAAGGATACCAGGGAAAAACAGTTGCCATCAAGTCAACTCCAATACATGGTTGATCACGTGTGTGTCAGAGCTGATCTGTAGTCCATAGGGTTTTCCTTTTCAAATGTCTTACTGTGTTTTTGATGAAAGTTTACATAGTAAATTAGGTTCCTATTTGGCATTTTCTACACAAATTGTTCAGTGACATTAGTTACATTTTTCACAATGTGTCAGCATTGTCTTTAATTGTGCTCTGATTATTCTGCTTCCAGAACTCTAGTTTTCCTGACCCCTTATTTTCTCATCTTTTCTTTAGAATAAAAACTTTTGGGTCTCATATAGATGATTTTTTAATGGAGCATGAGGTCACCTTGGGATACTTTCAGTTCAAGGTTTAGAGAATATCTCAGGCCCAACAGACATGAGCAGACACATGCACACCTTTGTTCATTGCAGCGTTATTTGCAAGAGCGAAAAAAAAAAAAAAAATGGAAACAGCATAGGTG